CTCTCCATCCACAGTTCAGCTCGTCATACGTTCAAAAGTTGCCCACTAGTTATGTTTAGTTAGTGTGTGTACATGTGCATGATGGTGGTGGGTGTGTGGTGGGTGTTACTGAAGGTTGTCTGTAGGCGGGCTTGCCATGCGGTACGTGTTCCTTCAAGAGCCTTTAGTATTATCAAGTCACCATTCTCTGCTTCAACGGGTCAAGGTTTTTTAAAATTTTAGTTAGATAAGTAGTATCACATCAGCCTAATTGTTATCTCTGTCTCTAAGGCAAGGCCATAGTCGTAGTAAGTTATAATGTAAGTAAGTAAGGTTCCTACAGTGTCTCAGCGGTGACAGATGATTAGGTCAGCAGTGACAGTCTTGTGATTATCAAAGCTGTTTATCTCGAGGTCCATGTTTAAGAGGCATACTTTTATCCTTTATCTGACTGAGCGTCTTCAAGGAGACTTGATAATGACATTTAAAGTAAAGCAACATGTGACTTGTAAAAACGTGAGGCCATCAGTTTCATGGCCAGTTGTATTACTAGATCTAGATATCTAGATCTAAATCTAGATCTAGATCTAGATCAAGATCTTGATCTAAGTCAGACAATTTTTTTTTTAAATTACGGTCACACTTATGACTTATGACTCATGGTCATGATCATGTAAAATACAAGTACACCCTAGATCTAGAAATATACAGTCAGTTCTCAGATCAAGTAATTATGGTGACAACAATTTCAGAGCTCTGATTTTAGTATTCTTTTCGGGATCGCAAGCCATACTAGAAGAACCACAGCATCAAAAAGCATTGCATAGTATGATAGTAGTAAACCTAGGCGTAGAGTCGTTGACAAGCTTGTTGAAGTAAGTTGACGCAGGGGTCAAAGTCCACTGACACTGCGGACAGGTTCTCCTTGTTCTGTTGGTGCCAACAGTAAAGAAGACGTTCTCGCTACTCAATATAAACGAAAAATTCGATATGATACTTACTTCCACAGCGCCTTAGCGTAAAAAATGACTGTGGAAGACTTGGGTTTGGTCTTTTCGTCCTTTTCACTGTGCACCTCCATTTTCTTCTCTAGCCTACTGTTACCACACGTAAACAAAACACGGGCCAGAGGTGTTGTTTTCATGCACTGTGCACAGACCAGGCTAATAGGCTCTATTCCATTGGTTACCGATAAGCCAATGGCAGGTCTATTTTCCTACAAATGCCACCAGAGTTTTCTCCCCGAAAATTCTAGCCTAGGCCTACTTTGCCATATTGTCATTCATTTGTGCTCTTACTGCTCTTACCCAAGGAGGTTAAAATTTTAAGCTGGCTCTTTATACTTCATACCTGATCAAAATGCCAGCTTGCGTCACGTCATGATTAAAGATTTTACTTGTGGTTTTTTTGTTTTGCTGTTTTGAAATGCAATCACACTGACATAGCCTATCACCGTTTAAACTCATCCTTCCAAATAGTAATGAATAAAATGGTTCCAAATTTAATTGAAGAACAGGGATTTGTTTTTCCACATTTTATTCTGATCTGGTGAAGAAATGTTTTTGAACGGTATATTATGCTCTTAAAGGGCTGTTTAAATAATGTATTATCTTACACCTGGAAAGGGGGGGGGGGGGTCTTTGGCTCCTGTAAGAAAAGTGTAGGAAAAGGGGTGGTCTTGAACCAAGGTAATATTACACTTTTTCGAGGTGAAAAAATAAGAAAAATAAGGTGACCTTGGTCAAGAAAGGCTGCATGGTGTGGAAAATATTTTCTAAGTATTGCAGCATTGAAGAGGCACAGGGCTTTACACAGGAAGAAATGGAGGAGGAGGAAGAAGAGGAGGAATAGGAACAGGACCCATATTTAGAAGACAGTTCAGCAGATGCCCCTGTTTTAAAAAATATTTTTGACATATGAACACTGCCTTTGTTGATGATAACTAATTTCACTTTTTTTAAAGCATATGATTAGTTATAATAACAATAACAAATACAGTGGAATCCAGATAAAGTCAACTCTTGCTTAAAGTCAACACCTCACTGTGGTCCCGATTCTTATACCTTCTTTGTTTAAGTAATTGTGTTTCTGATACATGTACAGTCAACCGCTTGAGCTAACCTTGCGCAAAGTCAACGATTTGGGGCTAAATCCGAAAATGAATTAATTTAAGAAGAGATATTTAGGTCCTCTATTGGTGTGCACACCTCAAACTTTGTTCACTCATTAAGTATCTCTTGTTTTGGTGACAACTTCAGAATTATACTCCCTGAAATTGAGCTTACATCTTGTTACCATAAGGTACGGTACTGGGTAATTTTGTAGCTGTCATCTTTAATTTTCAATGGCGAGTAGTACAATGGATAAAGTCAACCTTGCTCAAAGTCAACACTGTTTTTCGGTCCTGAATTCCACTGTAATATGTTTTATTTGTAATTAAGGCGCTTTTGAAATTGACATGAGTTTCAATTTTTTCCTTATTAGTAAGAAAGAGTGTATGCAATATTTTGCCTGAATTCAACTGTTATTTTTTAGTAAATGTAAAACTGCGTACGTATTATCATGTGCATACGTATGATATCTGCGTATGTGTTCCGCGCAATTTACTGATCTTAAGATTGCGCTGCACGTTTTAACGATCGTTTAGTTGCCTGGCAATCTTAAGATTGTGGGGCAATGTTAAGATTGTGCTGCGTGTTTTAACGATTATAATAATATAATTGTATCATTCTTAATGTGAGCTCTTCAGTTTCACATCTAATTTTAATTTTAATTTTCCATATATTTTCGCACTTTTCAAAATATACGTTTCCTTTATGTGAGTAAGTTAAGATGGAAGTGAATTAAAAGATCGTTAAAATGTGCAGCGCAATCTTTTGATTGATGCGCAATTATACGATCGTTAAAACGCGCTATGCGCCGATTTATAAATTGCGCGGAACATGCATGCATGTTCTTCAAGAATTATGTAAAGCGCATGGAACAATGAAAATATTGTAACACGGATTTGTGCAATATAAATGTCATTATATTAGAAGTATTATAAGCGAACAATGTAATATTACGGGGGGGGGGGGGGGGGGGCAAAAGTAAAAAACGGGGGGGGGGGGGGCAAAGGTGTAAGATCATATTTGAACAGTCCCATACCGTATGCTTTTTCTCTTTTAAAAAATAATTTGCATTAAATCTACACAGACATGGATTGCAATACAGGTACTTTGGGCCGACCATACAGATAAGCTGTGTTCGTATGTCTCCGGGCAGGGATCAGCACTAGACTATTATAGATCTAATTTCCTTAAAGGATCATCGCCGGAGCAACGGGGACCGTGCACTGAGCTCGAGACCTGATCCAGTACATGGACAAGTAAGATCTATCCAAGGTGGCCTGGACAACTGCATGCAAGAGAATGCAGAGCGCAGGCGAGATAAGGGGTTAGAAATCAGTTGGTGTGGCTTGTTTGTTGTTGCACGTGTTTTTGTTGTTGTTGTTGTTGTTTTTCTTGTTGCTTATTTTGTGAAAGTGTAAAATAAAATGAAATGTGACAGGGAAGATCGAATGCCATGGTAAAACAAGCATGTTATGCCGAGTCGCCACCGCGCTCGGAGAACGAGCGACGTTTCTGTCTCAATTTCATGAAAAGTGACCTCTCATTTCAACTACGATTTGTATACGAGTTGTGGGCGGGACTCATCGACGGATCACGTGCTTCCCTCACCAAAGGAGGATATTTTAATGTTACCCATTGGTCAGTCAGGTAAACTGTGGGAGGGATCTATCGGTTCATTCACTGGAACTGAGACAGCCTGGCTGGAGGGACTTTAAAAAATTAATGACTCAGTTGAATTAATTATAACGGCTCCTCCACAGCTTCAGGGGGGCCAAACATGATTAGAATAAATGGCAAAGCGTCAGGCGACTGTACATGTAATTCTCTCTGGGTCTACCCCTGCCTCGCTTCCTTTCTATTGTTTTGTGTTGTTTTTTTCAGTGAGCAGGATATAATGTTTGAGCGGCCTTATAATGTCGATTAATTAGTGCCTGATAATAGAAACCGCATTTGTTGCGTCAGTTAAATTTGTTCTTATTATAATTGTATGATCTCGAGCGTCCCATACTTAAATTTCTTCCATAAGTTGCTTTCTTCCTCTTTGGAATATTTTCTGTCAAAACTATTCTCAAGCATTTTTTTTAAAGAAAACCAATTTCTGTCGCTTACTGTTTTATGTTCACAATCTTTGGCACTATAGTCTAGCGCATATATACAGCGCCGTATAAGCAGGGGCGAAGGCTGACTTGTTTGACAGGGTAATCAAAGTGAAACGGGACCAGATATGGCCTGTAGATATCACACAAGAATCTTA